CTAAAGGTTGCCTGAGCGTGTGAATCGGTATAGACAGTTTTTCAAAGGTAGAATCCAAAACACAAAGCACTTCTGGGATATAATCCAGAATGGATAATAGTTCTAGGATGGAATCCGAAAAATAGCATAAATGCGTGGATTGTTTAGGTGTGTTCCGGTTAAGAATCCCGAAAAGGCATCCAGGTGTATGGATGTTTCGGGATATAATCCAAAACATATAGCGGTTTTATGATAAAATCTAAAAACTGACAGCAATCCCGAGATAAAATACAAAATAGACAGCAGTCTCAATGTACAATACAAAATATATAGCAGTTCCAAAGTTATAATTTGAAATAGACCTTCAGCCGTATGTATGTTTTGGGGTAGACTTCGGAATTGTAGGTCCCAAAACGCTCAACTCGCACACACAGAAACACCAAACACTTAAAAGGACAATAAACTAGTAAATATCCAAAGCACAAATTAGTTGTTTGCTCCTGGAGCAGACAACGAATGCATATAGTAATGGAGATAATAGAAATAACACAACCAAGTTGTTAACCCAGTTTGGCTGCACCAGCCTACATCGGAGGGTTCCAACCCAAGTGTAATCTACTATGGAAAACATCGAAACTTCAAGATACATGGACACCATTCAATCTGCATGCGTCAAAATTTTTTTCCTATTTCTTAACCCCTCATTAATATGAATGCTTCCCAGGCTATCTATATGTCTATGTTTTATTGATTATCTCACATATACCATCCTACCCACATTTCGATAATCCAACAAACTATATTCCAATGTTCCCACTCATCAGTTGTTGAAACCGAATAAATTTCTTCTTCATCACTTGCGAGACACCTTATCACCTGGACCACAATCATTATATTCAATCGGTTTCTGAAACACATACTAAATGGGCCTTCTTAACAATTTGGATGAAATGACGAAGGCCCAATCTTCAATTGAAGTCCATCTGTTGTCCAGACTGCCTGCAGACATCAAGTGAAATCCAAACAAAATAATGACCAGTAACAATCTCTTCCTTTTTGGTTGATGTCTTCCAACCAAGGGCAGAGATTTTATATGAGTTTTTTGTTTTTTTTTTACAATGTCAAGCAAAAAAATTCCTAACCACCTCAGTACGCACCTAAATAACAAAAACAATCAAGACAATTCAAGTTCACATCACAAAAACTCTAACAAAAATACAGAAAGCAAAATACCAGAGCAGTTCAAGTTCATAATTAGCCCATATAAATTCACCACACACCAAAATTTCAACATCAACTTACTGCAAATCATGCTTTCTTTCTTCCTGAAATACTCCCCTTTTGGGAGACATCAATCAAAAGAGCTGTCGGACGCTCCATCATCCAAACATGACATTCCCACAGTTTATTTTCCGATAATTAGTCAAAAGTTCCCTTTGATGTGTCATGTGTCTAGAGCACCCACTGTCAAAGTACCATGTTCCATTTTTTTTGAAATTCTGTATGGAGAATGCAACTAGACATGATCTTTGATTCTTTTTCAGTTTCCACACCAATCTTCCCATGATACTGTCCTTCAATTGCTTTGATAGCCCGAAAATTTTTCTACCCAGAGACAAATCTTGTCTGATTTGATCACAGTTCACTAACTGATGTCCTGTTCGTTTGCAATACTTACAGCTTGACAGTTGTCTACCTAATTTCCAAAAATTTCTTTGATTTATGAAAGAATTTCGAACAAATTGGATTCAGCTAGCAGAATGATTTTCAGTTGATTCTGAGAGTAATCCACCATTGATAAATTTTGTCTGAAAAGTTCCAGCTTTATAAATATACCCAATTCCACTGTGATCACCATACGGGTTCCCAACATTAAGTACTTCATCAAGCTTTTGTTTCCCCTTCATTAACATGCTGATTTCGCTTTCCAAATCTTTCTTTTCCATTTTCAACTTGCCAATTTTCTCAATCTGTTCATTTGAGGATTGAAGCAGTTTTTCATGTTCCGAAACAAACTCATCGTTCATTTATGTTATTTTTTCATTCTTATCCAGCCTCATAACACAGGCCTTCAGTTTTTCATTTTGCACAACCAAGACTTTATGCTAAGCAACTAGCACATCATACGCCTCAACCAGTTCTTCACAACTCATTTTAGTAAATTCAACATCCTCCTTTGCCCATTTCTTCTCATCATCCTGTACAGTAAAAACAACCAATTCACTCTCCATATTTTCTCGTTTCTCTTGGACAGTTCCCTGTTCCTCGATTTCATTGTCACTCCATGTAACTCTCGTTGCTTTCTTATCTTTTCTCTTGGAAGTTGGACACTCAGCCCTGGCATGCCCATAACATCTGATGTCATTCAATATGTCTAATTTCTTTGACACTTTAACCATCTTAAACCCATCACCCTTCTGAACACTAGCCTTAGTGGGGGCACCAATTTTTTTAACATTCTGCATAGGGCGTCTGTCTTTAGTGCAGGTAGACACAATCTCGAATAGCGAAAGATCCACTCCACCGAATGATGGCATTGATCGCTTTTGAGTTAGCATTGCACCGAGCTCTTTCTTCAGGAGTGAATTCCATCTTAGGCTTCTCCACAACCATAGTTTCCACCTTATCATCTTCTTTCCCTATCGGATTAACCATAATGGTCTTTTGAGGGGGAGTCCAGCCATGAACAACCGATCTCAAGTTTCTTCACTGATTGACATAATGAAATACATCATTTTCATTTTCCAATATTGAAAGTTGTCTTCATCTAGCAATGAAGGTCTTATCGCGAATGTTCCTTCCTTTGCTGACATGATTATGGATAACTTTTCAGTAATATTCGTGAAGAAGAGGCTCTGATACGAATTGTAGATCCCCAAACGCTCAACTCGCACACACAACAACACCAAGAATGACAATAAACCAATAAATACCCAAATCATAAATTAGTTGTTTGCTCATGGGGCAGACAACGAATGCATACAGTAATGGAGATAATAGAAATAACACAACCAAAATGTTAACCCAGTTTGGTTGCACTAGCCTACATTTGGGGAGTTCAAATCCAGGCGTAATCTACTATGAAAAATATCGAAACTTCAAGATACATGGAAACCATTCAATCTGCATGCGTCAAGAAATATTTCTCATTTCTTAACCCCTCCTTAATATGAATGCTTCCTAGGCTATCTCTATGTCTGTGCTTTCTTGAATATCTCACATATACTACCCTACCCACAATTCGATAATCCAACAAACTATATTCCAATATTCTTATTCACAAGTCTGTTGAACCGAATATAGTAATTCTTCATCACCTGCGAGACACTTCATCACCTGGACCACAATCACCAGAATGTTGTGGTGTGGCCTTGTTCAGACAACTAATTGTGATTTTAGATAAATATATTTTGTTTGTTACTAATATATAAATCTAAAATTGTTGAAAGATGTATTGGAATTGTAACCAAGATATTAATACAAAATTAAGAATATCTTGGGGGTTTGTCATAACTATCCGATTTAAAGCAAATTGAGTTTTTTTTTTTTTTTTCAAATGTAAGTGTGAAATTAATTTTCTTGAAATTATAATTAAAATGATCTTAATTTATAATACACTTTTTTAGATTTTATAAATAGAGTGTATATTATTCATTGTAAATCAAATATGGCGTCTTAATCAAGTTTACATTATTATCTTTTCATTCTTGTATTTTATTTTTTGTATCTCTCAATTTTTTTTACTATCGTACGTTTTTGCACTGATACAAATTAAAAATTGAATTACTCTAAATTTTCCAAAATAAGATAATTGATCATTATCCAATTAAAAATTTTCAATCCAGGTTAACAATTTAGACATTCTAAAATAAAGTAACACATAAATATAAATCACATATATAATAAAATATATTCATTTAGTGTGGATATATTTTTTTCTCAAAATTTTCCACCCGACCAGTAAGTTCACCATTGTGAACCAATGCCCAATTCGAAAACTATTTGGCACATCATTAAATAATATGATATATATATATATATAATAATAATATTTTACCAATTAACCCATATATATTTCACTAACAAAAACTTGTGTTTGTAAAATGATTAAACATATTAAATTTTCATTTGATTTTCTAAATTTTCTCAAAAACCAAAACTACAACAAGAATAAGAGGGTTGAACTAGAGTTTGTGCCACCAAGTATTTTCTTTTGTTTCCTTTGGCTGCCGTAAGTGTCATCAAGTGTGGTTGTGGGCGCGCTATGGTTGGTGATATCTATAAATCTCAAGCCTTGAATTATGTGAACTGTATGTGAACAAGTGGAGGAAAATAAACATAAATAGTATGTGTAAATGAATCAATTGGACATGGATTATCTATATCTCTCTAGCTTTAATTTAATTATTTTTATTTTTTCAGTGAATTTCTTCTTTCTTCCATCAACTCTTCCCGTTAAAAATGCTACCAAAATCTGATTTCCGAGTTCGGTTCAATTTGGAATTTATTCGTTCTATCCTGAAATGCGAGTTAAAACAAAAAAATGGCCATTTGAAATCTATATTTCTGCCATGCCATCTCGATTTCACCTTTGATTTTTACAGCATAGACCATCATTTGCATGTGTTGTTGTCTCCAACAAGTAAATATTCACTTGGCATCAGAACAGAAGTAAATTCCTCTTCTCCATCATTCTTTGCCTTGTCTGATCCTTTCTTTTACCTCGATCGACCTAGGAACGTTACATAATAACATGGGAACTAAAAACAACAAAAACTTAGTCCATGCCATCATATATATATATATATATATAATAGTTAGTGCAAACAACAAAATCGAATTCTCCTTGAGAAAGGAATTAATAAGGATAAGGAATTTTGCTTATTTCACTATCTGGGCATCCCATCCCATCCCATCCCAACCCATCACCTGTGCTGTGCCTGTATTCAACTCAATGTAACACAAAATCAGGACAGACAGACAGAAAACGAGAAACAGAGAGCATTCAGCTCAGGTTTGAATGTTGGTAACTAATTAAAAGTGTATAGAAGAGAAACGAAATTCCTCCATGTCTGTACAAGTACAACAAACAACACTCACCTGCTACTGCTGATGCTTGCCAGCCCAAGACTTAATCCCTGTCCCTGTCCCTCTCCTCCAACAAAAGAATTTCTTGCATCCACAGCTAAACCAAAGAATGTGCATATTTTCATCCCCCCTCAACTCACATTCACATGCAGCTATTGGACCCTGCCTTCCAGTCATCAAGTATTCCATTCAACGATGTCTTAAACTTCTTAGCCCCCGGCCCAGCCTTTACCACATTCACATCGCCCCATTTCGAACATGGGTCCATCAACCAGCCCCGACGGCCTTGGCACCAAGCCCCCGGTGTGGCTCGGTTATGCCCACGCTTCAATATGTTCTTATCAATCATGTCCAGTACTGGTCCATCTCTTTCAAACTGCCGCGCGAATGCAGCTCCACTTTTGATCATCTCCTGATAATCAGAGGAGTTGAGGAAATGTGGCTCCATCTTGGGCGGGTCGTCCCACACAAAATATCTCAGGTCAGCATTAACAGTGATGTTCTTGAACTCTGGTGAATTGCAGACGACCGAATGGAAATAGAATTCTTGAGGCAAAACAGCGTTGTTGAAATACATTAGTAGCGTCCGAGGGAGATTGTCCCATCCAAAAATGCAGAACTCGAGGAATGACCGGGTTAGGACAACCCATGGAGAACCTAGGAATATGATTACATAAGCTGTTAGCTTGCATCAATGGGAATCAAACATATTTTGATACAAAGTCAAGAACCATCACATTGCTGTATGAGATTACCAGTGAAGACCCTGAAAGCTTCAGGCATTGGCCTCTTTTCAGTTGCATGAAAGATTTGAGTCCTCCTAGCCAAGTAAATACCCGGGTCCACTACAACTGGCCGAATTCTTTGCTGCCTGGAATTATATTATTAGTGCATCAGAAAAGGAATTGAGAAATTCACCCTTGATTGATGACAGTGAGAGATTAGGATTTGCCTACTCTTTCCATCCAAGGTCGCTGGTATGGTCGATGAAGTTTAGGTCTCTCTTTACTGAGGAGAACACATGGGCCAAGTCTGGTAGACAAAAACAGGGTATAATTGAAACATTTACACTATGTTCGGGCATTAAAAATAACACATATTTAGAGATTACGCAGACATATCAGGAAAGTTACCACCAAGCACCATTTAGTAAGTTTGTAGGAAGTGGACAGCATACGATACATCAACTCAGCTCAAATATCAAACAATGCAAGTATAGAAAGCCAATGTTCATTTCATTCGGAGCCAATAATTTGTACAGTACTTTAAATATAGATGGAGTGATGCATGGAAATGTATGAGAGCAAACAAACTGCAATAACTTAGTTTTAAGATGATCTCAATCTTTGAAGATTTCAGGCTCAGAATGTAACCTAAATACATGGAGAAATATCCAAACCAAAGACAAGTTCAATTTCATTATGAAAATACTAAACTGAATCCAAGAATGCCTATATCCATTTTCAGTGTCAGTTGCTCCAACAAAACTGGTTCAGAAACTAATTTACGGAAGGAATGATCCAGAAAATGAGACCCAAATTAGAAGTCATCAAATGACACTGCTCAAACATCAACTGATTCAGGTTGAGCATTGAAATACAGTGCTTACTTCAAACAGAGACACTCAGATACAAAATTAACGCCCTTAGAGCTTAGTTTTGCCGATAAATTCACATCTCTTCACTCAAATACTCGTAATCGTTTCAAAACAAAAGCTCAATCTATCGGTCAATCACCACATCTAACGATATATAACCTTCTCAAATAGGTTCCTGGCATGCCGTAGATAAAGAAAATATCCCTCCCAACATTGCCACAAGATCAATCAAAGACAACACGGAAATCTTTGCATCATTTAAATCGGGTGTAAAAAGCAGGTAATGGAAAGAGAAGAGCAGAGCAGAGCAGTATACCATCCTGTGTAATCAAAGGATAATCCATGGCACTGAGAACCACAAACCAATCCCACCCTCCATCCAGCTTCAACAGAACCGCGGCCGCCCTCAAAACCGCCGCAATGTTGGTGGACCCCATGTAAGTGCTCGGATCGGGCTTCCCGATCACATCGGCGTTCCCGAACGCCCGAACTACGGGCACAGACTTCACCAATGCCCCCAACCTCATCCTCTCGTCATCGCTCCCGTCCGCCGTGATATGCAGCAGATACCTATTCCTCGGATGGTACACCGCCAGGAACAGGCGAAACAACCGCTCTGCATCCCCCTTCCCGCCGGAAATATAGTAGGCGAACACCGGGGGATACTCCGGGCCGTGATGCACCGAGGAAGGGTAGGGCTTGCTGGCCGGGAAACCATAGTAATACGAAGAACTACTGAAGCCAGAAATGAAAGACACAAATATGAGGAATGTGACGAACGCACCGGAGAATAGGATGAAGAGCCATTTCTTCTCAGCTCCCATTCAGATTCGGATGGAAATCGGAAAATCTCTCTCTCTCTCGCTCTCTCTGAATCAATGCGAATTTTGGAAAGAAGGCTCGCTATAAGGCTGATGGCTGCGACAATGAGAAGAGAATTTCGTAGATCTCCATGAACGAACGAGCTGAGCCGTCCGCAATTACTCAGCTGCTGGATCAAAGTGAAGTGATTGCCGTTCCGTTCCGTTCAATTGTTAATGGATGTTTTCAGTTCTTGACGATCGTAAACATGTATGCATCGATGAACTGAACTACCGTTGTTACCCTAATGGGTAAGGAGTTCGATTCAGGTGCGGAAGGACAGAGACGATAGAGAGAGAGCGCTGATCTGAGGCGAGGCGAGGCGGAGAAGAAAACAACAGTCAATGAATGAATGGAGGAAGGAAGATAGTCAGTAGAACAAAGGACGGACGGACGGATTTCTTCGAATTAATTAATTAATTAATTAATTATATTTTTGGTTGATGGATTGAATTAAATTGAGATTGATTTTGTTTTTTAAGTAGTGTTTATACTTAGAGCTAGCTAGCTGTTTTTAGAAATTTGGAGAGTGAATCGGAATGAACAATTACTCCTACGCTTGAATTGACGATGTCCGTTTTCATTTCAGATCGCAACGACGTCGTATGCAGCCAAGTGAAGCCAGATAGATAATCGACGGTGCATATTCATCCGTGACAAAATAAGTCACGGATGGATGGATGGACGGACGGCTGGATGGGTAGTTCAGCAAACTATTACTTGTGCTTTTAGCACACGCTCCTCGCCGCTGCGTGTGCACCACGCGAGGAGTTGGTTTCGCACTATTGTCTTGTCGGTGGCCAACTAAGACCACGCACGGCACGGCACTGCACGGACGACTGAAAGTAGCAGTAATTGCTATTAGGAGGTGACCTAGATTAGATTACATTAAATTAAATTAATTACAAGTGTCCACCCATGTAAGAAAGAAGGCGTCTTGCCCTACCATATTAGTAGCCCTCAAAATTAGGGAAAAAATCATTTTTTGTCTCGATATAATTAAAATTTATCAATTTTGATTTAAATATAAAAATTTTTATCAATTTTGATCTCAATATAAAATTTTTATTAATTTTAGTTCCAATATAATCAAAACTCATCATCATTTTGTCTCAATATAATAAAATCTTATCTTTTTTTGTCGTACCGTTGACAAACCGACGGAAAATATTGACGTGGACTTATAAGATTGTGCAATTTCTTCAAATATAAATATAAGATTTGATTTCTTTTCACATCAGTATTTTTCGTCGGTTCGTTAAATGTGGGACAAAAAAAAGATAAAGTTTGATTATATTGGGAAAAAAGAATGAGTTTTGGTTATATTTAAACTAAAATTTGATAAAAATTTTATATTGGAACTTTGATATGATTTTTATATTGAGACTAAAATTGATAATTTTAATTATATTGGGACAAAAATAATTTGTTTTTTTTTAAAAAAAAATAGTTCGTGTGATGTGTGATGTCCTCCTAATGCGGCCACATTCATTCCATGCAGGTGGGTGGGCGGGTGAGTCGGTTGGTTCTGTTCCGTTTTGTGATGACATCGATTTAATCACTCCATTAATTAATTAATTAATTAAAATTCATTCGTCCATGCGACCTCATGACTCAACTTGTCCGTCCGTGCTTCCTTCCGGCGTCAATTCATTTAATTGGATGAAGGAATTAATGTCATCACATGTAACTTAATCAAGATACACAATTAATTCCAAAAATTAGGGAGTGGAGTTCAAAAGGGTTAACAGAAAATCTTGTACAAAAATTAATCTATTTTTATTAAAAATAAAAGAATAAAAAAATTAGTGCATTTTATTTTTATTTGAGTATTACATCCGAAATTCAGATATTTATTTCCAAACGGTCTAAAAAAAGTCCGTCAAAAAATAAGTATACGAATTTCATAAAATATTCCAAAAACTTCTTAAGAAAAGATTGTTTATGTAAATGAAAATTATCCATAATTATTTTGGCATACTGACAAAAAAATCTTTTTCATTTAAGCATCAAGTTGTTTTCATTTTCAACAAATAAAGACTGCAGACAATCAGTTCTGCTGCAACTTATTGTATGGGTTTATCCATATTCAATTTGTCTATTCTATCAAACTTTTACAAGAGACAAATTAAATATTTGAAGGAAGATCAAAAGATGTCAGATGTAGGAAAACTCACTCCACCCAATTTCAGTGCAAAGGAAATTTATGAGGAATTTTTTTCAAACCTGTTACATGTGTTGTATACACAACCGGACATGCATGCAGAATAGTGGTAAGTGAGTTTGAACGCGTTTGTTATAGAGAGAAATATTGTGTGATGAGTTTACCTTTTGTCCATCTCGATTTTCCATAGTTTGAATGAGTATTTAACACTAAAATTTTTCAGAGAGTTCGTTGAAGTCAAGTTAGAGGAGTTCCAACCGGATGAAATGATCAAACTTTGAGCAGTTCAACTATATGGTTGTTGTCAATACGAATTTATGACAACGTGAATTTGTGGAGGGAATTCCAATGTATAGGGGTTTGGTTGAAAGAGTTGTGGTTATTTTATGTTTTGTAATCAACACTGATCAGTAGAACTTTTCATGAATTGAAATACCCAAATGTATGTTGATTTATAACCGAGCCGAGTCAACAAATACCTTGTCGGATTTATGGTTTTGTGTTTTGCATTTTATTCGTTAAAAAAGTGTTGTTTTAACTGTGAACACCAATGATAATGCATATATTGTCCTATATTTATATAGATAAATTATAAAATATAATTAATGTTATGGATAGATTTCTACTCATTTTGTCATGTTATTGATTGGTGCAAATGAATGGAGTAAATCTCGTCCATGCCATGTTTTCGATCAAAGAATTTTGGAAATGTTTGATCTAAGCTTGCATGTCAAGGAAAGTGATGGATTACGGGGATTGAGACGTAATTGTAGGAATGGTGATTGAGAATGAGTGATTAAAGACGTATTGAAGAACCGATCATCAATAAAAATAGGGCCAAGGCATGGGATGAGATATCACAATTTACACTCACATTTCATAGTTTGAAGGATTGGGCGAGGCATTTGAGAGGAAGCGTTATCAGGAGATCATCATTATCTTTATCTTATTGTTTTCTTTTATTTTGAGCATAAGTAGCTAGTTTTCTTTATTTTAGTCCAAGATTGAATTTAGATTTCGGATTTAGATTTGTGAGATTATGTTTTGATTTAAATTGCATCTTGTTTATTAAATTGATATTTGTGCAATTTCTGTGATTCATAACTACAATTGTTTTATTTAATTTTTTATCGCGGCCGGATTTTAGATTGGTTTAACAATTGTGTGCCAATTGAACATTTGCATCTGTAGTTGTGCACTTGTTTGATAAAGTGGTAAATAGGTTGACAAGCTTAGCCTAGGAATTGCATGATCAAATAATTTAATCTTTTCGTAATTGATTGAATATTTGAATTGGATTTTTCTCGGGCTATTTTCAATTGAGGAAATTAATTTATAGTCGTACCTAGATTATTTCTTTGATTAGGGATGCGGTTAATCGGTCGTACCATTGCCGCCAAGAAACTAAGGAAAAATTGGGCGTTATGATCATATCTAATGCCTATAACCAATTTATCAATTGAATAACGAGATTATTTAAAATCAATGATCAAATCTTTAATCCGGTTTCTTGTTCACTCATTGGGTATAATTTTAATCTTTTTTAAATCTAGATTTTATCGTTTATCTTAATTATCTTAGTGAATTGCTAATTTATCCCTTAATATTTGAAATTGTGACAAAACATAAATTGAACTTTGCAGTCCCTGTGGATCGACCTCGGTACCACTTGCTACGCGGCAATTGTGGTGTTAGAGTATTTTTTATTGGAAGCACCGAGGCTACCAACCAACTACGTTTAGGGAGTTGGTCCTATTTGAAGTGTTCGAACGTGTTTTGTTTGATCCATCATTTCCCAACATTTTATATCAAAGAGGTATTCTCTAAATCGTTGAGTAGATTTGTTCACAGTTGCAGAAACGAGCAATGAAGGTGGTTTAACCTCAAGACCTTCATTCTTCGATGGAACAAGTTATCGAAGTTAGAAGATATTGATCCAATGATCACACAGGTTTATGTTGCTGATATTGTGTTTGGATCCACAGTTGAAATTTTTAGAAAAGAATTTGTGAGATTCATGGAAGCTAAATTTGAGATGATCGGAAAGCTCAATTATTTTCTTGGATTACAGGTTACGTAACTATCTGATGGAATCTTTCCGAATCAAACAAAGTAAGCTCAAAACATGATCGAGAAGTTCGGGCTTCGAGATTCAAAGATTGTTAGGATACCCATATGACAACAAGATAAGTTATCCAAGGATGAAGATGGGAGAAATACTGATCAGAAACTTTCTAGGAGCATGATTTGAAGTTTGCTATACTTAATTGCTAGTCGTCCTAACATATTGTTTAATGTTGGTGTATGCGCGGGATTTCAATAGGAGCCAAAGGAATCTCATCTAAAGGTTTCAAAGAGAATTCTCATATATATTAAAGGAATAACAAAACTTGGACTGTGGTACATGAAGAGGTCCAACCTTGATCTTATCCGCTTCACTTATTCGGACCGGGCATAGTGTTGTTACGACTGAAAGAGTTGGCGGATGTTTTTACATCAGAGACAACCTTGTGAGCTAGAATTCATAGAAACAAAACTCTATCGCATTGTCCACTTCTAAGGCTGAGTACATCACAGTTGACAGTTGTTGTGTCCAACTAATGTGGATACGTCCGATGCTTATGGACTATGTAATCGATCAAGATTCATTTATCCTCCTATGTGACAACACAAGCACCATCAATATCTCTAAAAATCCTATACAACATGGGAGAACCAACCACATCGACATTCGTTACCATGTTATCAGAGATTTGGTGGAGAATGGGATATATAGATTACATCATATTGGAACTCTCGAGCAAAAACGGATATTTTCACTAAAGCCCTATATGGTTATCATTTTTTGAAAAGCTTCGAAGAAACTTGAGTTTGTATTTTTTTTCCCTTGTTGATCTTGCATGCATTGGTGCAAAATAAAATCTCCAATTTATTTTTGTGATGTATATAGTTCTGGTAATTATTGGAGACTGAATCTTTTTGGGAAAAGGATTTTCTTGAAAAGGATAAAAAGATTAATTGTGGTGAAAATTTTAAAAATTGAGGGTTGGGGGGGATTTATACTAAAATGAGGTGATTTTATTGCATCGTCAAACTTGTTGCAGTTATTGATGTGATAACAACAACTCTGCAGAGTTACAGTTTTAGGGGGAATTTTTGAATTTATGATGATCGTAACTCCCCTCTTTAATCCTGGCTATTTATATGGGATGCATTGTTGTGGAAATAACCACTTCATTATTGTCTTTATTCTTTCT